CCGTCAGATAAAACCTGGCCAGCTTCCCCTATCTCCTGTCTGTATATATGAGGCAAGCAGAATCCGTCAAATTGTATGAAAAATAACATACTTTAGAATGTGTACGGAGCTACAGTCCAGCGATGCCGATCGGATGTAGGGTGGGTAGCCTAGGGGGAAAACAGGGCGGACGATGCTCTTCTTTTCCCTCCCCCTCCTAACCCTCGGCCCCCCAGCCCAGTGCTCCACTGGAACCAATCCACCTGGTGGTGCGATGTAACAGCAAAGCAAATAAAAAGGCAGGCCGTCAGCGGGGCTGAACGGCCTTGGAGGGGCGCTTTTCTAGCACCTCCATACAGAGGGTGGGTGATAGCTCGCGAGGATACTAAGGTTCAGGGCCATCCCGCTACCCCTTTCGGGCCGGACTTGAAATGCTACGGCTAGGCGCTACGGGGGTGGACCGTATTTCGAAGCACGACACACCCACCCCCCCCCAAAACCCCACCATCGCTTTATGGGCAAATGGCGGCCCGTGCTTGATCCTTTTTTCCCCTCCTAGCCTCAGCGAGAACTGGACCGGCCGTAGATCCTCGCAGATCGCCAAAAGTACGTACACCAAGTACGCTAAAACACAAGCCTCTAGAAAAGGACGACGCCAAATTGTCAGAGCTGCGGCGCTTGAATGATCCACCCCCGTTTCGCAAACAACGCAAGATCGTAGCTGACTAATAGTTGGAATCTACGGTTACTCGTAGAGGGCAGACGAACCGAGGCCAAGCCCGAGAACATCCTCGCAATTAGATATGGCTCCTAGGATTCTTGGATCGGCGCGAAGGAGCTTTGGGGCTCCTCCCTTTCAGGAACGACACGAACCTATATTAGTATACCAAGTGGGGTCATTTGCGGAGCCAGGGTGTATGATCGATCGAGTCTAGACTACCGTCTTGATCTCGAGATCAACGGCTTTACCAGAGGCGCATCTTGCATTGCTGCTCCTCTTTTTTTAATTCAGGCTTTATGATGAGCAGGTGAATGTAGGTTTTCAATCCGGTAGTTCCTTAAAGGCCCACTCCGTGTTCCGTTTGTATTTGTGGCGATATTCTCTTCTTATTGTCAAAAGATGACCCGGGAAAATTCGAATGGAGGGTGGGACCATAACCACCGCGCTAGTCGGCTTGCAGCTACGGTCTCTCTTTTCTCTTTCCCCTGATTCGCTCTTGTGATTAATTAGAAAAAGAAGAAGCGAGAAAAACAAACGGACGCTCATTTCATTGGCCAGTAATGAATAAATAAAATTAGGATCGTCGCGGGGAGCTGGAATTTATTTGCGGCTTACGCCTCTGGGAATATTAATATTCCTACTACCGAGAAGGTTTGACGTACGAAATGCCAAGGGATTAATACCAAATCCCGTCGTAATTGGCGTCAACCCATGACATTTCTATGTACGGTGTACGGTGTACATCTGCTAAAATGAAATTTTGCGCATGAAAATGACAGAGAGGCTTTTAGATTCATTATTAGGCACCCCTTAAACTGGCGAGAGCGTCGAGAACACGTTCGGAGAAAAGCCGAGTGGATGCGATTTCTCCCGCATCGCCGCCACTAACGGCTTGAAGGGCGTGGGTGTACGGAGTAGTCTCACCATGGTAGATCGGACGTTATGGCATGTTTCCAGGTGAACCGTCTTTTTAAGTGGCTCATCAATGGTTTGCCCAACGTCTGTTTATAACCTACCTCATCGCCTCGTCTCCCAAAAAAGGCATGCCTGATTCAGCACAGTAGATTTCATGATGGCATGCCCGTCAACGCGTGATTTGCCAGAAATGATCGTCGTCTAGGACAGTATACAATTGACGCTCCCCCACAGTCTGCGCGTCAATTAGAAAGGCATAGTTGGGGCGATCCAAATATGGACGCGCCTATGTGTACCTTCCACTTTTAGACTTGGTGGCTTGGAGACTCCGGAGCCGGCGAAAATGACCTTTCGCATGAATTATTACACCCATTATTACACCAATAGAGAGAGGCCGCGAGAAAGAGAGAGAGGAAAGGAAGGGAGGGTCCAGTTTTCTTCCGGAGATAAAGCTGTTTCTATCTTACCCTCCTTCTCCCCCACCAACAATTTGAATCCATGACTCAGCAGACGCTTAGCTAACTAACGTAATTCCCGGCCGATCTGGACACCCCAAAACGCCATATTAAATGCCATATTTTTATCCCTCTATCATTCAACCAGCAAAACATTTGGTTGGAATTTAGGAGGAACGCTTTTCTAAGCATCTTCTAAGCATCTGGAACAACATAGTCAGGTTATAAACCCTTTAGAGAATTATTCCGTCACTGTACCATAAAATATAAGGTAGTTTAGACAATGAAGGCGAGAATATATATCTCTCTACAACTACTTAAGAATTAATTTTCAATACTGCGCCAGCTAGCTAGGAATACTATCTAGAATACACTAATTTAATTCATTATCCAAGATATCCACAGTTGCCTAGATATGGTGTTGTAATTTATCGCGTTTAATATGGTGTTTTGGGGCGTCCAGCTCGGGCGGGTGTCCAGATCGGCCGGGAATTACGTTAGCTACAGTATGTGCCTTGCATGAACCATCCATAGACCCTGCAGCTGCTTGAGCCGCGGTCCCCCCTTTGGTGGAGACGCGCTAGATCGACGGGGCCTCGGGGATCGGCTCAATACAGTAGTGTCTATGGCCTTTTTTATCGAGCTTGATAATCTGGCCTATCTACTATATCTGATCTCCTTTAGCTTCAACATAATCTGATATGCTATGGGAGATATACTCCCCAGTCAGATTGTGTGAACCTGCACCATAGTACCCAAGCCCCATGGTACAAAAGTTGATTGTTATTCCTAGTTAAGATGTTCGGCAAACAATCGAGTGGTACAGGAGCCAGAAGCTTCGCCCGAAGTCCACATAGCGCACCATGTAGACAGACTCCTTCCTAGTTTGGCTGAGCGCCTTCTTGAAGTCCCACCTTCCGATCGCTTGGCTCCTTCTTTCAGCTAGCTCTACGGAGTATAGTCGGATGAAATACCGCCTAGATTCTGTAAGGTATTTTATAAGGATTCTGCCCGCGCGGGGGAGGGGGCGGCAGCGACGAGTAAGATACCACCACCCTTTCTCTTGTCTTTACTAATAGCGACGGAATTTTCATTCATTTCAGTTCTGATGTTTTATCAGTCCGCAACAGCCAGATGTTCTTGGACTGGAAATGCGATATGAGTGGAAATAATTATATTCCCCTAACCTAGCTAAATCTTGTTAGCAGGTGCAGAAATGTATGGGGGGCACTTTTCACCCGCCTCCCGTTTTTGTATCCTTTTTGAGTACATATTAACAACGGTCAAGGAGCACCTTCGGGAAAATTTCGGTGGGTAGGTCGAGACGGTCAATGCCTACCTTACCTATCCGGCCAGCTACGGTAAATCTATATTGACCTGCTTCTCCAAGAGGCCGTTGCTGTTAAAAATGTTATATTCGCTTGTTCGGGATCTCCGTCGGCTGCATTCTTTTTAGCCGAAAAGAGCACTAACTTCGCCAGGACAATTGGGATAGGTGCTATCCACTTTTCCAGTATATAAAATCACCTAATATTTCAGAGGATACTACAATTCTGTACAAAAATACTGTAACGAGGGCCAACTTAGTCCAGGCCTTCGTGACCATCAGAAATATACCCAGACTGGATCTAGAACAGAAAGCTGATTGCAAGCTTCGCGGCAAAGGTATGTCATGTACTGACTTTTCATGCCCTTGATCTCCGTAGCGGTGGATCCGGCAAAACGCCTTTGTGACCGTGCGAGGGAAACGTTGCGGCCGCGTGTGGCGTTCCTGTGAGAAATATGTGGTTTGCGACTGAATTCTCCAAGCGACTCTAAATGGACGGTGGGATCGCAAGATGCGTTCTATTAGGGAAGTCAGTTAGACGAGTCCTGTTCAATAAAGTCGTTATGTTAACCGCTTAACGCTGTCTTTTAATCATGGGGTTGTAGCACTCATGGCGTCGCACTACGCTCGGATCAGCAGTATCCTTGTGGAAGAACACGTGATAACGCGTAACATAGGACTTCCAATGACGGCGACTACGCAAAAGGGCGAGAGCCTCGGATCGGCGATAAGTGGCTGAGCGGTATTGGATGGATTCCGTGAATTACGGCTTGCTTTTCCGTCTATTTCACTTTCACCATCCCTGCCTTTTTTTTTTAGATAATTGAATCAATCAAGTCCACTTCAGCCCTGCGTATAATGTCCAGCAGATGGTGAGAATGTGGGTTGGCGGCTAGTCAAAAGACACTCGGATCTTTTTTTATCGAGAATAGCAAACTCGTCTACGTTATACTCCTCAACTAAACATTTTCCTAGTAATTCTGGCAGCACTGACTATCCGCCCGACCTCCTAGGTGGCCGTCCACCGGTACGTGGGCCGAGCCGCTAAATGGCTACCGCAGACTTTGGACTGAATGGCTACACACTTCTGCTTTCCCCTAATGGACAGTTCCAGAATTTCCATAATTCACGGAATTCGCCACCTTCTTAGTTAAAACCATCTACGCAAGCAATTAGGAATATGGAGGCTAAACCGAACACGTCAAACAGGCTTAATGAGGAGGGCAAACACTGCTGTATATATTACCGATTGTATTGAGAAATCAAAGGGTACGCCAATCTTTCGGTTCAGACCAGTTGACCGTACTTGGATCAATTGGTTGCGGTAGGAAGAGCTTACTTACAGGCGACGAGGTTATCAGTTCCTTCAGCCTGTGTTGGACGAGTTGGCCGTGGTTCATGTAACATTTCGTTATAGTAACAAACCGCACGTCTAGCTCAATTGTATAAAATGCATTGCTAGATCCATAAAATGCCAACATTTCGCCCGTCCATCCCACCCTCAATGCCGCGTATTCGTCTATCACCATGGCCGGTGGTTCATCTGATTCTTTGTCATTTGCTTGTCGCTGCAGAATCTTGGAAGACCCAGGTTAACATTACAATGTGCAACTGGAACCAATTTTGCGGTACGCCTCGGCTCACTCCAAACCGGGAACTATCCCCTTGTCTAGTACTGATCACCTAAAGCCTTTCAACTCCAGCAAACCATCATCCTGAACGGTGGTTCCTTGTGGTGGCAAAGGTCGGTTGTTACCCCTTCGTCCCTTGTAGCATCACTAACCCAACCCAGTGGGTATTCTGATGGAACTATCGATGTTCCTGAGAGTGATGGTAAGCTCTGGAACGCTGGATGAAAAGATGAGGCCAATCAAAGCTAATCGGCCCATGAAGGAAACGCTGAGGGCACGTTCTTCAGCTTGCCTCTCGCTGACTCGTTCGATGTGAAGACAACCAATCTATCTGGACTTTTCTCCAGGGGACCCAACCCAGTTACCAAACAAGCCAACTTTGAAGGCGGTGCAATGTTTGGCAACAACCAGGAGATCATCCTCTACGGGTTAGTTCGGCAAGGTGTTTCGGTCTTTCAGCGCTTTCGCTAATTCCGCTGCAATAGAGGCCTGACCAGACCAACAGATAGCCAGGCTACCCCTGGGCCCAGGGAACTGCTCGGGCTTCGATATTCCAAGGGCGTGTCCACTGGAAACGAGGTGTATTTCTTCAATTCATCGCTACCAACTGATTTAACGCGATACGTCACAAGTGGCGGACAAGTCTCAGTGCCCAGCGAGAATTTAGCCTTCTACTTTGGGGGTATGCGAGGACAAGGATGGGGTCCCATCACATCAGATGATGCCTCTGCGAACACAACAGCTGACACTCTGATCATGCTTAACCTGACAGCTGTAGGAGACCAGAAGGTTTGGAGAAACTCAACGCTACCCAAATCAATCATGAGTCGAGCTGATGCGCAGCTTATCTGGGTACCAGTCTCTGAGCAAGGGGTTCTAGTAGCCATTGGTGGGGTGAAGACCCCAGAGTATCTCTTTCCGTCCGGTCTTTCTTCGTCCCAGCAAGAACAAGACGTACTATTACCTCTCTTGCCCCGTTGGGGGGATCAGATCTGACTGACCTCGCACAGTCTCAATTCGACTCGAACTTCATGCGAGAAATCGCGTTGTATGACATTGCACAAGACAGATGGTGTGTTTCATCACCGCTCTATAGAACAAGGCACCAGACAGCTAAAGGGTTGAATGAAAGGTATCTCCAAAACACGACGGGCGACGTGCCACCAAACGGCCATGCCTCTTTTTGTTCTACTCTTGCGTCTTCATCGGATGGGAGTTCTCACAACATTTACATCTACGGTGGCTACAGCGGACAGAATTCGACATCCGCACCATATGATGATGTGTATATTCTCTCTTTACCGTCCTTCGTGTGGATCAAAGCCTACAATGGCACTTCTAGGCACGGCCGTAGTGGTCACCAATGCTTTGGTGTGCTACCTAGTCATATGCTGGTCGTCGGGGGTCTATACAAAGATCCGTCATTCTGCCTCGAGGGTGGAATCCTACAGACATTCAGTCTCAACGATTTAGAGTTCCAGACAACATACTCTCCAGAGTCGGTGGAGGAGTATCGTGTGCCTAACGTTGTGACCAGGCAGATTGGGGGAACGTGAGTCAAGAGCCATTCCAGTGACATATCTATATACATATGATGAAGAAAAAGCAGGCCTTTGGTTCGCTGACATAGGGCAATACTGACAGGGCAAAGGGGAAAGCAACTCAAACAGCACCCGCCTCTTGGGGAGATCCACAGTTGAAATCCCTATTCGGTGCCACTTACACAAAATCAATAGCCACCTGGTATCCATATAGCACGTCCGTTGCCACGACCAGCTCCAGCTCCACGACTACCCCCCATTCAGATGCCCAAGAAGCCCACTGGATTGTGCCTGTTACTGTTGGCACAGTTATCCCTGTAGCCGGAATCACCTGCACGATCATCCTATGGGTCTTACTCAAGCGGAAACACCACCTCCGGCCCGGACAGTGTCGATGTAGTCCTGGAAAACGACACTGGGTGCACAAGTTTTGCCCCGGAACTAATCAATATCTCCCCGGTGAGATTGAGGGGAATCCAATAGAGCCAGAGGCAACACGCCCGGTCAGGACTTTAAGCGACATGATCAGCGAGCTACCCGCTCCTTGTCTTCCTTCCCGGAATTCGAATGATTTTTCCATTGCCGCGACGCCAGTTCAGATGTATTGCGATGCCAACTTGTCATATGAGGCGCCAGGTAATGACAAGCTAGTGGAGCTTTCCAGTGAGGCTTACGACTACCCTTCTGACGGAGCGAAGGCCGAGGACTGCGACGGCAAGCGCTCGCCACTGACCCGACAGTAACTACAGTCTGGGAGACATCGTGGAACGATTTTGGATATATGTTCTGCCCGGTGGCATTTTGAGGAAGTGAAAAGAGAATATCGGGTCATGTATGTGATGGCCAGAGTGCTAGAAAGCCACTGTATAATAATTGTTAGGAAGCCTCATTTGAAGAAGTCGGTTCGTAGGTGAACTGTTTCGAGAATCCACTGTGCGTCATCTTGGCTCTACGGAGTAACAAACACGCTTGATACTCCTCACCCCATAGAACTTTAATGGTTCTCAGTAGATAGAGTCATGCTCTGTTCCACCCAGTGTAGGGCCCATGTTACAAAAGTCTACCCGTGGCACCGGCGAGACTGCCATATTTGGCACGAAGCCCTATTTATTGGGGACTGGTCTGATTGATTGTCCAATTTTGGCACCGAATGCGTCCTTCAATAAAAAGTTGCTCTCGCGTCCGGGACAGTCTACTGGAAGGAATACCCACAGAAAAATGGCCGCGAAAGCCCGCGCTCGCTCTCTACGAGCAACCCGCACTACCTTGACGCAGAGAATGCTGGCCCGAAATGATGACATTGCCATAGAGGTATTAATTGACAGTCTGTTCTTGAAGTGTCCGAGCCCTGATTCTCAAGCCAACGTCGATCAGCCCATTTTGAAAACAACCAAAAGTAGTCTTAAATACTTACCGCTCCGAGGTTTTCCTGCTGCTGATGCCTCGCGTATCATCCGCGATGTTTTGATTGCGAAGGGGAATTTCGCCAAGACTGAACAAGAACTGTTCGGTCTACCCGGCCTTCAAAAATTGACAGAAAGGACTCTTAGTCCCACCGAGAAACAATTGCTGAGGAGACACCTTCGCATATATTTCCGTATGTTTCGGCCACAATGTCCATTCGAAATTAAGTTTATCAATGCGTACGATTACACGCGGTTCGAAGCTGCCGTTTTTGCCCGAAAGCCCATCAAAGCCGGTGAGTTTGTCAAGTACCTCATAGGGACTACTGCCCGCCTGAGTGACAAGGAAGAGGCTTGTCTACGCCAAACAGGGAAGGATTTCAGTATAGTCGAATCGGGCAAGAAATCCGTATCCGTACTACTAGGGCCTGCGCGGTTTGTCAACCATGATTGTAATCCAAACTGTCGTCTGTTCACTGTGAGGTCCGGCAGAATGGTCGTAGAGGCTCTTCGCAATATCGAAAACGGAGAAGAGATTACTGTTTTTTATTGTGACGACTATTTTGGTGACGGAAACCTAGACTGTCTTTGCGCAACGTGCCATGGAACCCCTCCCTGGTCTGTTACTACCATCGCGCTGATGACAAATGACCGCACGTCATCGGACGAGGCTGGTTGCCAACGAAGGAAACAAGTTGGAAGCCATCGACGATGCACTAAATGAGCAGACCGAAAAAGTCGCGAGAAAATTGGAACTTCCCAAGACTGAGATGGATTTTCAGGTGAAGCAGGATTACATGCTTGGGCCTTCCGCTATGCTCGTCTACTTGCGCACTTCCTGCGACCGTCAGCGTAGAAATTTGACGAAAGTCAGCTTGCTCTATGGAATTCAAACCCACTGGTGTAATCTTGTCCAAAGATTGCCTACATTGTGAAACTCAGTACCAGCGTGAAGTATTGCTCACATAGCGCATCATTCAATGTAAACTCATTACAAATTTTATCTCTATATTTCGACAGGAAACTAGGCTAGAGCTAAACCATTAGTCGTTGCTTCATACATGATGGATTAACTTACGAGATCTTTACATAAGGTCAAGTGCCGCACGTTCGTGGCCTTTCGCATCAGGCAGTTCTCACAACGGATCCTTTAATAGAGATCTCCCGGCAAAGTGGAATTTATAGATGTCTGGAATATCTTAGAGACCGTCACTATGGCTCTCCTGGCGAGGCTCTTCATGGCCTCTTTCCTCCTCTTTGATGGCCCACACGTTTCTGTTGCTGGAGAGGTTGTTACCGTCACATCTACGTCGATAGCTACAGCCTTTTCAGACTGCACATGTGCTTTAACAGTCTCTGATCACTTGACGGAATATAAGGTCTCAACAACCTCTGTGAACGTGGCCCCCCCATTCACAACTGAGCCTACGCGAAGCGCATTTCCAGCAACTTCTGTGAGCTATCCGAACTGGAGTACTACCTCAGAACCGACTCGTACGTCCATCATCGCTCCCGTGTGCCGGCCCATTGATTTTGGCTCATCGTATTCTAGAATTTTCTCTTTCGATTTGCCCGACTCGCATCAAAAACCCGACATATACCGCTCCATTCCCTCAGCCAACTGACTATACGTGGGGCTGTCCGCCACACTACCTCTGCCAGCCGGATAAGAAGACACCGGACGGGGAGTGCAATTTTGAGGCTGGCCCGCCCGCAGACACCTATTATTGCGCACCCGACCAGTGTGTACCAAGCCCGCCACTGCTAACCCCCCAGTTCGGAAAAGCGTCCGACGCAACGGGTGAAGCCAGCTTCTTCGAAGTCTCGCCAGGATATTTCAACTTAAACCCGTACGAATTTGGCTTGGACTATGATATTTTCATCTTCCCAGGACCACCAGGGAATGCAAAGAGAGAATTGTCGGTGCGGATTCCTGGGAAATGCTACGATCCATGCAATGACGCGATGCTAGAAGCGGAGTCTACTGGTAAAACCACTGATCTATGCCCTACGGCCGCGGCATTTATCACTCTTGTTCGAGCATGCCAGTCCTGCGTAGCATCCTTTGACTTGCCCCGCAACTCCGCTACTGTCCTTCCACAATTTCAGCAATTCTTGTTCTATTGCGACGGTTTACATAACCAAACCGCCTTGACGGCCATCCAGTCCTCGACAAGCATTCTCAAAGCGACCAAATTGACGTCAAACAGCCCCAAATCAACTGCGATTCTGCTTTCCGCGTTGACCACAAGGATGAAACAAACCGAGTCCTCTAAAACAGTGTCAGGAATGGCGGATCCAGCCTCAATTACGACAGTCCCTTCCTCAACGAGAGTGTCGTCCGCCTCTGCGGGACATATTTCTATGGCACACCAATCTTCTATGGCACCGAAGGAGATGGCAACTGCCCGAGCAACTGGGACGCACCAGTCCTCACAGATGTTGCCTAGTTCAACGCCGCTGTTGATAAATGGTTCTCCCGTGTTAAGCCCGTGCTGGACTTTGGGCTCTCTTCTTGTAGCTGCCAGATTTTTACTAACATTATGATAACGGAAATGTGAAATGCACCTCTAAGATATGGTGAAGATTGGGATACAATTCTACTGCTCTTCGGGTTGCCGGGACGTAATGACTGAGAGGAGTCACTGAGAGGAGTGCTCGCTCGCTATGGCTCCATCTCGATTTATAAGAGGGGGGCTAGATCGATACTTAGGGTATAGCAAAGTACTTGATCGTCGAGTGACTGAAGCTTATTCAATCCAAGAAATCACACTCGACCCACTAACTTGCCTGCGAAGCCACCCACTCCACACAAGTGCAGTCTTCTACTAGTGACTGGAGCACTTCTCACAGACTCAAAAGTAGTATTAAGAGCTTACTGTCGTATCTTAAATTGCGCATTGTGTTTTGTGTAAATTATTGTCTTGATCACTCGATTGGTTGGAATCGCTGTTAAACCAAGGACGGATTCACTTGCCTGAAAACGATCCTCAAGCACCCGATTCCGCTCGCTTTTTTTTTTTTTTTTTTTTTTTTTTTGGATAGCTTTGGCCCTGAATGAGTCGCGTCGACATCGCATGGTCGTTTCCGAGTCGATGGAGATACGCGTAGAGGGAACGGGCGCCACAGACGGTGCGGCGGTATCAGATGATTTAGGAAGGTATGAAAAGGTGCAGACTTTCCTAATTCTCTTCAATTTTCTGTGCAGTTGTGGATATTCCTTTCTCTTTCAAAGGTGAAGGGTAAAGAGAAGTTTGTCGCGAAGGGAATTGTGTCTAATTCCAGTCACTTAGATCCAAAATTAGCATCAGGCGGTGGTCGAAGCGTGATCCCTAAATAGAGAAACGAGAGTATACGAGAGCAGCAGCCTCTGGAGTCAAATTTACTTCCCCCAAATGTAGACCCGCGCTCATTCGTCCAAATTAATTACAACCCGTAACAGAATAGCTGTCCCTAGCCCGCTCGGTGGTGTCCTAGTCATGGCTGTATTCCCTTCAAGTCCACAGGAAAATAAATTCCAATTTACAATTTGAAGTAGAGGAAAGACTTCTGACTAAATGCAAATAAAGACCTAGCAATAAATCGACATGAGTACCCCATGGCGGACGCGTATTTTTAGAGATCTTTCTATCATATGTACATTTTATTGCTACAGCGGTTACCCTGTGCTTGGCTTTTGTTTTGGGATGGAGCAAAAAGTTGCTTGAGGTGTGTACAACATGTGAGTGACACAATGACGATCTCATAGGGTTTAAGTGATCAAGGTTCGCTGTTGTCGCAGCCAGGATCATTAGACTCCTTTTTATAACGATACGGCCGTAGTAAAGAGCAGATGGCAAGTTGAGCGTCCGATGAACTTTCCGAACTTACTGCTGAGGGTGATGAATATTTCATGGTTACTGAAGAAAATATCTCTGCGATACTTCGGCACGGTAACTTATACGTACATCAAGTGTGGCATCTCAAAAGATAGTAGACCGCTCTCTCCGGTACAACTATAAGGCCCTATTGTCTTCCGTAGGGTATTCTGTCTCCACGTCCCGTAACACACATGTGAAAATCTGCCAGTTTGCCAATCTTGATATGTAGTTTGGTTTTAAATAACCGCAGGTTAGAGCTCAGGCCAGGACTAAGCCATGCTACCTCATTAGGGACGGATTGAATCGCAGGAGTGCCGGAAAGTTGCTACGAGAACAAATTATTTCAAGCTTAGAACAAACACCTGTTTAGAAATCGGGCTCGTGCAGAGATAATGATCTAACGTTCTCAAGATTAGGAACGCACGGTAATGAGGCCTATAGTACAGTACCAACTGGTATTGCTTTCCAAATCCGGAAACA